CAGACAACCTCTCGTCAATATGCGTTTTTCGCATTGCATTGCTGCAAAAAACGCATAAAAACGGATATTGTCGAAAGGTCGCCCATGAGTGTGTTTGAAAGCGAGTGAACTTTGTCGCTCACTTTCAACTCAGCAACCAGGAAAGCGCGGAGACTGAAATTTTGGGGGCATATTCCCACATCCTTATGTCCTCCTCCGTTTTAAAATCCCCGCTCATGCGCACTTAGATCCTACATACGGATCCCAGAAACAAATATGCAAATTTCTTTGACGATAAATGACTTTGTAAACCTGACAAGAAAGAAAGCTGAAACTTTACGGGAAAGATGAAATTCCCTGCACGCAGGCATGACAGAACTCAATTTTATCCCAAACTCAAAAGCGAGTGCATTTTACCGATTTCATAATCCTTTCCCAACGTTCTTCAAATTTGCATTTTTTTTGCAATCAACGAGCAGTCACTGAGAAAACGACCAAGTTTCATGCAGAAAACTGATAATCATACACGCTAGAAGAGGCCCATGCGGTCTCATAATGCAATACCTTCATCCTAGCCGACGCCCTTTCTCCCTGCATCTGAAAAAAGGCCAAAACACAGCCAATATGAGTTTAAGTGTTAAACTGTAGTGCGGAAACCATTTCTGCTGTTAGCGATCTGCAAATTTAGCGCAAAAACTCATGACTGCACTGGCAAGCCTGGTGCATTGCAGCTTGGGTTCTTGTGTGTAATGGGAAAATGGCGTCAGCTAGGATTGCATCATGGAACCGCATGAACCTCCAGCATGCATGATCATCAATCTTGCATGATGAGAAATGAATAGTTTCCGATGACCGGTCGCACATCGAAAAATGCAAATTTCATAGTAAAACAAGATGTCGGGAGAGAAGGATTACGAAATCCGCAAATTGCACTCACTTTTGAGGCTGCGATAAAACTGAGTTTTTGTCATGTCCGCGCACAGGGAAGTTAGCCTCCAATCAGAATTCAGACCATACGTGATTGTAAGAATATCCTCGCAAAATTTCAGCCTTGTACCTTGTCCGGTAAGTGAAATCGTCGCCTCGCTGTAAATATTTTTGATGTGCCCTAAAGCATGGCGTAGTGCAAATCGAAACCCGATTTACGTTCTTCTGGATGGACGATACATATCCTGCCAAAATTGCAGAAATGGTTTCCCGACTAGTTTTCGGATTAGCACGGTGCCAACTTGCGAACTTTAACGTAACTGTATGCACACCAGTGAGATTTGTCTTCTTAGCTGAATCTGGTAGCTGAAATCTATCAATCAGGAAATGGCATGAATGAGCATTAATCTTATACATTTGAGGTCTAGTGAGATAGGTACCCCAATGTGAAAATTTAGCATCCTAGTAAATGTTCAGTAGAAGACCTACAGCAACAACAACATGTAATTTATTGAACACGAAACATGAGCCACAGATGCCAGTCTTATGCACGCAGATTCGCACACGTACAACAGATATCTTCATAAAATTACAGCTACCCACGTAGTCTAATTCGCGAGCGGAAGCCAACCAACAGGAAGTGTCATCTGCTCGTACGCGAGATCTAGACTTGTCTCGTGAAAGATATATTTCAAATGCCTCAGTCATGCATCGTTATGTCCCCAAAAAAAAAATTTCAGCTGCCCAGTTTAGCTGGTTCCCAGAATCGCTTTTTCCCAAAAAATAGTTCACTATGCTCGTACAGGCGTACGCGAATATTTATTTTACGTCTGCAAACTTGCAAATGGACTGTAATTATTCTTTTAAAATCAATGAAACCTAGTCAGCCTAGTACCCGAATTGGCATTTTGCCAGCTGTCACGCAATCGCAACTTCGATGCGCCTCTATATGTGATGTAGGAGTGCGTTCAAGATGAATTTGAAAACTGCAGCTTACGAATAGAAATTTTTCCTTGTGAATTTTCAGACCCCTAATTTACTTGGTCCCTGAAACCGCTTCCTCACCAAAAAATTTAAATTTTTTTATACATTCGTACATGAAACCCGGGCGTATGTGAACGAGCATTTTAAAAGTGGAGCATCGTACATGAGATGCTCTAGAAATCTCAGCTTCCTAGGTTCACCAGTTGTTGAGTTGAAAGTAGGTGGCAAAAGTGCAAACGCACACATACACACGCTAGCAGCCTCCCGTCTTTATGCGCTCTTGCACTTGCATAAATGTGCAAAAGCGCATAAAAATTGGTAAAATTACGCTCCACATGGCTATACCTCAGTACAACAAAATTTTAACACAGAAAAATCCCAATGATTTTGGTGATGTCGATTATTCATTCTTCACTCTTCCCTTTGTTCAACTTTCTCAAAGTAAACATCTTTACTCAAGTAAAATTTACTTGTTTTTAGAAAAAATCACAAGCATTACGCACTATAGCCCTGTCGAACCCCTCCCCCAAACACATTGTTAACAATTCAAGAAGGAGAAATCGTATAAGAATACAGAGCGCACAAACTGGAAACATTAAAGTATAAAATCATTGCCAACGAATTGAGACATGAAAATTTTGCAAAAAATTTGATGCAAAGCCTCGGAAAAGAGGTCAGCACCCACATTTCTAGTTGGAAAAATAAGGATGAATTTCGGAATAAATCATGCGAACGATCAGAGGGACGTTCGGATTGTCTGGAAAAGTAGTTTCTGTGTCTGTAATGCACCAGAGAAGAAAAGGTCTCGTCGGGATGACGAATTGTGTTGGAAAATGAAAAACTGGATCCGAAAGTACATTGATGAAGCAGATAAGGCAGAATCATGGAAGTGATGCTATTTCGGTACAAATGCATAAAATATGATGTAACACACTCACTACGTAAAGCCGGGTATGCTTCGCCCGAAAAATTTTTTCGCCAAAAATTTTAAAAAAATAAGGAATTTTATGTGGAACACATGTGAAGTAATATTTCTTCAGCAAAAAATCAATAAACAGGGAAGAGATTTCTAACAAGATCCAGCTGATCTGTGCGAAGAGGCAAACAAAACAGTAAATCAATAGCATATTTTCGGTCATTAGCCGATACAATCCACTTTCTGTAATCGTTGCAGTTCAGATGCGCTTTGTATCCATGACCGTGATGTGCTTTGTCAATGTCGAAATTCCCTTTATCATCATGAGCGTACTGCATTATGTGAACAGCACGATTCCTGGAACAGAAATGTCAAATATCCATTAGACTACACAGCGACGTTCGCCAGAGGAACGCAAACTCCCGATAAGTGTTGTGAGCTCAAGGCGCTGGTTATTGCGTCACGACATCCAGAAGTTGACTATATACTTCATCATAATGATTTTTATGCGTTTTTGCCGTGCAGCGCTAGAGCGTTGCAACAGGCAGCAAAAACGCATATTGCAGCGACCTTGTCAATGTGTGTGTGTGTGTGTGTGTATGCTGTGTGTGTGTGTGTGTGTGTGTGTGTGTGTGTTCGTCTGTCCGGGTATTTCAACTCGCTAACCACGCAATTTGAGGCATGAAATCTTGCCAGTGTGTTCCCCAGCTAGGTACCAACCCAGGACCGCGGTTCCAACCCCCATGCACGTCTAGGCCCCGCGTGCAAGCACGTGAAAGTTTTGGCGCGGAAATCGCTAACTCGGGAAACAGAAAAGCTAGAAAACTAAAACCTTGGGAGAATTTCCCCTACCCATGTGTGACAAACACAAATTCAGCTGCCCAGGGGTGCCCGGGGCTTACGTACGGGCACGTGAAAATTATGGCGGGAAAATTCATAACTCGAGAATGAGGAAAGCTAGAAAGT